TGTGTATATATACGTGTGTGTATGTGTGTATATATACGTGTGTGTATATACGTGCATGTATATACGTGTATGTACGTGTATGTATACGTGTATGTACGTGTGTGTATACGTGTATGTACGTGTGTGTATGTATGTGTATGTATGTGTATGTATGTATGTGTATGTATGTGTATGTATGTATATGTATGTGTATGTATGTATATGTATGTGTATGTATGTATATATACATACATACACATACATACATGTATGTATGTATATATACGTGTATGTATGTGTATGTATGTATGTATGTGTATGTATGTATGTATATATGTATGTGTATGTATGTATGTATATATGTATGTGTATGTTTGTATATATACATGTATATATATACATATATATATATATATATACATATATATATATATATATATATATATATATATATATATATATATATACATACATACATATATAGGCAAGGTACATATTTGATTCCACCGGGAGTGTTTGCGCCGCGATCCGGCTGCACCTAGTGTTTTATTTTGAAATATTACCGGATGCTCAATCCCTTTTTGGTGTCTGACTTTGTGGCTGGGTCGATCTGCTCTGTGCAGCTTGATGCGACTTCAGCGCCGGTCTGTCAAAAATGACTCTCGCGCGCCCCCTTCATTGAGGCGGACGTACTGTTTGCCTTCCCTCTGTGCTTTTTCTCTGCGGTTTCTGTCAGATCAGCAAGACTAAATAGGTTCTACACATACATGAAATACATTACCTATTCTATGGAAAGAAAGGACATATAATAAAAGTGTCTACAAATGTGGTGAGAAACAATGAGAAAGAAAAACGCATGCGCTCAACCCAGTTTGAGGGATTGCACAATCTGAGATGAGGCACAGCTCGTCGCTGCCTCACCTCGCGTGTCTCCTCTCTGTTTGAACGGGACATGCGCAAATTCAGCCATTTTGATTATAAAAATGCTTGAAATGATTGGAATCATACAGAAAGGCTTTGCCTCACCTGCCTCCCCTAACCGCACATCCCTGCGATACGCGCTTCACCAAAAACGTCCTGGATTACTCGACACACGCTTTGAAGCCTCGACAGGGAAGGTCACATCACTAGTTTTGAGACCTGCATTTACTTTGAAAGTCTGTTATGTTACTAACACTGAAGCGCATTCACACACATTCAGTTTTTTTTTCACAGGGTGACAGTTATGATTGTATTCGGAGGTACACTCAAAACATTCGAGGCTTAAGACCTGGCAAAATGACCTGGCTACGCCATTGGTCGACACAGGAAATACCGTTTAACTCGTGCACGCAGTGTATGATGGTCACAGAAATACATGTCACCCAGAGTCCTGCCAGTACCCTCGATGTGCGTGAATATGTGAGGGCCCGATTAATGCTGCTTACAGCTTTAATAATCGTATTGCTATTCTATTTTGCACTGGTGTCAGTGTTGCAATTCATTCACTTAATATGTATTCCTCTATTGCTTAAATATTGTTTTTTCTTATTCTTCTGTTGTAATCTGTGATCAATCTCTGGCACAAGAATCTTCCACGGGATTTTATTTAATCTCTTTTACAGTTTGGAGGTCAAAGGTCACTGTGACCTCACAAAACACTTTTTGGGCCATGATTCAAGAAATGGCATGTCCAGAGTAGAGTGTGGATACCAGACCAAGCCTCCTTGATGTGGTGCTTCAATTTCTTATTGGTGAAAACATAGAGTAAACAGGATGTACCTTCTGTTTATGTTGGGCTGCTTCTTGTTCAGTGCTTACTTTAACCATGGTAACAAGAATTGCGTGACAGGGTAGCAAAAACTCGGTGCTTCATCTTTCATCGACTGCGTTGGGCTCGGGACAATTCGTAAATGAACAACAGAATATGTGTCGGACTAGAGTCGGTGTCCGGGTAGAAATATGTGGACCGAGCAACACTCTAGTCTGAAGGCCAGTATGGTCCAACAGAAGAGCTTGTGGGTTTGGTTGAACAGCTGTGGAACAAGTGCTCCTATGTGAACCGCGGCCCATGTCACTCCCTTCTGTCTCCAGGTTTACAGCTGTGATAGGAAAGATATTCCTTTCCTTGAACGCTCCTTTTCATTGTCATTATTTTGGATTAGTTTGGGATGTCTTTAAGTCTTCGTGTTGTGGTTTTTGACAGGAAACTGACTTATCAGGTGGATTTAACATAACATCAATAAGACACCGTGATTACCAGAGCTAGTCTCCATTCAACTTCAACTATTTTTGCTGCTGTTTTGTGTCAATGTGGTGAAACGATAAAGCATGAAAAGTTGCGGGGATGAATACTTTGTACAGCATGTATTTCCATTATTAGATCCATTATTTCATTGCCGTATGCTTTCTCTTTTTTTCTTCTGTGGCACAACTTCACATAACATCCTAACTTTCCCTTTCTGTTCTATGTAATGGATGAGGATTATAGTGATCTTAATGTGCTTCTGCTCGTATCTTTCTTTGAGTGGAGGTGGAGAAAGAGAAGCTCCACGACCATGAGCGGCAGTGTTCATATGAACACCTCAACCTGCTCCTGCACTTCATCATGGGCATCAAGGTGAGCCTGGAGAGCCTGCAGCCCCAGAGCCTGGAGGTGGCCAGCCACAAGCTGCAGGAACTCCACCAGTCCCTCAGGGACCTGGAGCTGAAGATGAGCCAGATGGGAGGGGGCGCTGCTGCTCCCGTGCAGGGCGCGTGCGCCCCGTCCCTGGCCACCTCCTTCACCCCGCTGCCCAGCGCCACAGGCACCGCCCTGGAGCTGCAGCTCCACAGCGAAAAGGCCAAGGTGGCAGAGCTGAGCCGCCGCTGCCAGGAGCTGGAGCTCAAAGTGGGCACGTTCGAGAACATTGTGTGCGTCCTCAACCGGGAGATGGAGCGCTCCTGCACCACCATGGAGGCCTACAACCGCCAGCACCGGCTGGACCAGGACAAGATTGAGATCCTCAACAACAAGGTGACAAAAAAAGTTACATGTAGTCCAGCAGTGAATTCCTCAAAATTAAGTTGAAATCTGTATAATCCCAAAGGGATTATTTATTTAACCTTTATTTAACCAGCTAAAACCAACTGAGATAAAATATATTTTACAATGGTGACCTGGCCAAAAAGGCTACGTCGATTTCCTATATAAAATAAAACATGCATTGTCCACGCATCAACAGAAGAGGTTAAATATACATAAGGACAAAAGGGCATAAAGACATGACAAAATTGTTTTGCATTGTAGCAAGAACAGTGTGTGATAAAACCTTCTGTTAACTTTAGTTTAAGACCGGTCAAAGAGATGAGGTTAAGTCTAGCCTGCAGGTCATTCCAAGACCAAGACCCATAACAAAATCAACTCCTGTTCCCAGTCTCGGTCCGCACAGGTGGCACCTCGGAGCCCAGCCAATATTGGAACTAAGATTGTACATTGGTAACCTAATTCAAACAAACCAGTGCTGCGTGCAGTGCAATAGCAACTGAAGACCATTCGTCATGATTGCTCAATGTGGCGAGATGAGTCCTGTAGCCTGAGTTTGAAAAACATCTTAAAGCAGAATGATAAAGAAATATAAATCAGATTGTCAAGGCAGCAGAAATTAAAAGACAATCGGGCATCGGGCCTCTCTCTTTACACAGAGAAATAGGGGCTGAATCTGATTGGATAGAAGCTCTCTTTATACAAGCTGCACTGGAAGCAGCGCTGCAAGGCTGGAAGCAGCGCTGCAAGGCTGGAAGCAGCGCTGCAAGGCTGGAAGCAGCGCTGCAAGGCTGGAAGCAGAGCAACAGAGGAAGACAGGAGCTGTGCAATGAGAAAATAAGCTAATGGGGGAAAAAAACGATAATACATATAGTGTATTTGTGAAAAATTATTAAATTATAAAATAGCTATAACTTTGTGTTTAGGCCAGCAGAGAAGGCTTAGCTGGCCCTGATGGCCCACCACTGCTTCATACCCATATATAAAAATGATGTACAGATCCTTGCGGCAGTCAAAGGTGCAATAAAGTTCTGTGTCCCTGTTTTTCCATCTTGCTTTTTTCTCTAAAAGTGTAACGTAATGCAAAAGTTGCTAAATTATTTCCCTATAAATCCATATAGGTTGGCTCAATAGAAACATTGCTAAAAGCAAAAAGTGAACCGTCCTGTCCCGTGTGTTTGTGCGCTGCAGGTCCGTCAGCTGGAGAGGACGGTGAGTCTAAGGGACCTGTCCATCGTGGAGATGGAGGGGAAGATGAGGGAGATGTCTGCAGCCACGTACGACGGCATCTTTGTCTGGAAGATCTCAGATTTCACCAAGAAAAGGCAGGATGCTGTGGCGGGCCGCGCCCCCGCCATGTTCTCTCCCGGTAAGCGCTCTGTGTGATGACCAGACAATGATGACGCGTGTGTCCGATTTAAGAGATTTCCACTTCTTGCAGTGAATAAAAGACATTGTTGCGCTTTAACGCCATGTTGTTGTTTTCCAGCCTTTTACACTAGTAAATATGGCTACAAGATGTGCCTGCGGATCTACCTGAATGGTGACGGGACGGGCCGCGGCACCCACCTGTCTCTGTTCTTTGTGGTGATGAGAGGACACAGCGACGCACTCCTCAAGTGGCCTTTTAATCAGAAGGTAACACACGTTTCAAGCAGTGGTCTCCACCCCACACACCAAAATAATGCTACCGGACAATGGTAATTACTTTCAACAATGCATATACATACAGTATATAGTAACTGAGTAGGTACTATACTTAGAGTACTGTACTTAAATACAGTTTTGAGGTACTTGTACTTGCATGCTACTTTCTACTTCTAATCCACTACAATTCAGAGGCAAATATTGCACCGTTTACTCCACTGCATGGTGACTTGCGGTTGGCAGTTTACTAAATTATGGTAGCTACTTTGCAGTGGTGTATAGTAATGAAGTAGAAATACTTTGTTACTGTACTTAAGTTGTTTTTTTTGATATCTGTACTTTACTTTACTATTTATATATCTGTTGACTTTTACTTTTCCTTCACTACACCCGTGGATCGCTAGCGAGTTATTGAGCTGAGGAAGTGTTGACAGTTGTGAGATTTTGTTGATTTGAGTCATCTTAGCTATAATCATTGCAGCACTAGTTGGCTAACGTTAGCTAACTTAACGTTAGCTAGCCACCACACCATAGGATTGACAGGAGCCGCGAGAGCGCAGCATTTGGGAAATCCTTCCCAGCTGTGCGCAAGCTGCCTGTGAAGCTGAACACACCTCTACCTGCCTCAGCGGCCTGTGAAAGGCTATTTAGCATCGCAGGACTAGTCTTCAGCCCAAGAAGAGCGAGACTGAATTCTCGCAATTTTGAAAACCAACTTCTTTTGAAGATGAACAGGACATTTTTCAGTTTCAAGTAATGACTGGGTTCTTACCTTCGGTGCTGCTTTAGTATTATCATGTTTTGATATTTGAGTCATTTTGTGGATGATCAGATCGAGTTATGATGGTAGCAGTTGCCCAATTGCAGATTCAGCTTGAGCAAAACCTTTGCCTATTGTGTTCAAATCAGGCCCATAGGAGTTTACAAGGCAGGTGTCCTTTCTCAAAACACTGACCTGATGCATCAAGTGGATATTTCTTGCTGAACACGCAGGGCAAATATGAGGGCAAATATGCATTTGCCCTCTACATCCTCTAGTCGGAATGAGCATACTTATAAACGCACTGTTACAACTCCTTCATAGTGTCATATTGCTTTTCGGAGAATTATGATGATAAGTTCATAGTAGATGCAAAAGTATACTTATGTACAATATATTATGTTGAACATGGATGGATCACAGCCAACCCAATTATTTTCAACACAGCTCCATGTCCTTGGTCATGGTGGCCACAGCACTTAAAAGAATAAACTTCATTATTCTCAAAATTCTGACCCTTTGCTTTTTTATTAACAGCATTTACTTGTACTTTTACTTTCAATACTTAAGTACATTTAATATCAGAAAATTACTTTTGATACTCAAGTACAATAAATATCAGATACTTTAAGACTTTTACTCAAGTAGTATTCTAATAGGTGACTTTTACTACTGGAGTCATTTTCCAGTAAGGTATCTTTACTTTTACTCAAGTATGGCTTTTGGGTACTTTATACACCACTGCTACTTTGCTAGATTGAGATGAATTATACAAAATATTATAAACAAATATATTGTGACACATTATTAAAGGTTAACATGGTAGACTCTGTTAATCTTAAGAGGGTAATTAACAAGCTACTGGCAGTATATAAAGGATTCAAATGATCTCCTCCTTTACCAGCTGCGGCTGTTAGGTGATGCACACAAAAATGCATTAATAATTATAATACTGTGATGTTATATTTATTATTCTGAAATGGACTCATATACAAAATTAATACGTTTTGATGCCAATACTTTAGTACTTTTACAATTTTAAATGCAGGACTTTTAATTGTAACAGAGTATTTCAACACTGTGTCATTAATATTTTGACTTAAGTTAAACATCTCAGTAATTCTTCGTTCACTGCATATATGCATACACACATAACTGAACCCCATCCAAAAGCTAAACATGCCATGACACTGTGACTTTAAAGTACGGAGCTGCAGTCAGCACAGGGTTAGCCTAGCTTCAAAATTATACCAAGCAACACCTACACACACACACACATTGTATCTTGTTTGTGTAATCTGTACACAAACAGAAATGTAAAAATCACCATTTGTGGCTTTAGGAGAAGTTGCGCTAGTTCTTAAAGGTTATCTTAAACAGCTATTTGTAATGTAAAGATATAGTGGAGTAATGTGTGTGTGCTGGGTCGGCTGCAAGTGCATGTTAATAAGCTAAGCTTGAGCTAGCTTATGGCATGCCCGCCGCTCAGCACTGCTCTAACGCGGCGGCTACAACTCATAAAGTCGTTCCACCTCAGGTAAACAATTTTAGCTGTGTCAGCCCATCGTTGGCTCTGTTAGCGCTATTTGCAGCTAGCCGCCGGCTCAGCCACCGCCACGTTGAAAACCGTTTGGAGGTAATAGATATGCTCTGAAATTTAGAATTCACACCATTTTTTTTACTTTTGCCAGAGTCAGGCTAGCTGCCCCCCCCCCCCCCGGCTAACAGTCTTTATGCTTTCAGCTTCAAACGTAAAGAGTGAGATTGTTATCGTCTCATCTAACTTTCAAGAAGAAAACAGATAATTTAATAAAATGCACAGTATTTTATGGACAGTGTGGATATAAGTTTCTTATTTTTGCTAGTTGCTAATTTTGGCTGCTTTTGGCTAACTTGTTTTTAAATGGCTTTAAAATCCAAAATATTTTACATTTTTGTTTCATTATTGCACCAAAATTATTATTTAAGAGACTTGCCTTTTCTACAATCCATTATTACATGTGAATAAACCGTTACTCGTATTCCAACAAGCACCTTAAAATATCATACTTTCGGCTCTACTCCTAACGCCTGTACCCAGGTCACCCTGATGCTGCTCGACCAGAACAACAGGGAGCACATAATCGATGCCTTCCGGCCCGACATCTCCTCCTCGTCCTTCCAGAGGCCTGTCAGCGACATGAACATCGCCAGCGGCTGCCCGCTCTTCTGTCCGCTCTCCAAGCTGGACTCCAAGAACTCCTACTTACGCGACGACACCATCTTCATCAAGGCCATTGTAGACCTCACTGGGCTCTAGGTAAAAGGACGAGGGCACAAATCCAACCCCTGCCTTTTGTTGCTACTAACCTGTTTGAATCAACAGGCTTTTGTGTCACCAGTAACTGGCGTTTGTCTTCGGGGGTCTGTCTAATTCTTTTGGGTTTGGTACCCATTGTTGTCAGCAATACACAAGACCAGAGCAGGAAGCTTTTTTTTTTTTTTTTTTTTTACCGTGTGGCTTTTGGTTTCCGAATCTTTAAGCCACTGTATCTAGTTTACAAATCAAACTGAGTTTTGATTTGACAAAAACAGATTACCTACCAAAGTGACTGGAGGAGTGAACACAATATTATTATGTCAGTATTTCCCTGATGACAGAAGACCCTCAAAAGATATTGGAACTGATGGAAGCATTCCAAGACTTGTGTGGAATATTATGCTTGTGAAAGTAGACAACTAAGATACCATTGTCTCTAATCACCAGTCATCATCCTGTGGCTTCTGGCACCACGGATGAAGCTCCTCATCTATGGTACGAGATTTTTACGTGGATATTATGTCCGTTCACATTCGAACATCAGCCGTGTTTACCTTCAGTTGTCGAGCGAATTTTAAGCAATCTTATTTCGCCGCGTTTCCACCAACTGGTGCAGCGAATAAACTAGGCTACAGCGTAGTCTCAACAGAGGATACATATCGCTGTAATCAGCCAATAAATTGGCAAACCGCAAACAAAACAAGTAGCCTTTCATGCTGTCTGGAGATGAAGACAAGCATTCACAAGTTATGGGAATATTGAAGAAGACAACAACAGCAGAAACAGCTGATCAGTGATGAGAGTTAAAGGGCCGGTGTGTAGTATTCAGGGGGAATCTATTGACAGAAATAAAATATGATAATTATAAGTAATTATAAGTTATCACCTGAAAATAAGAATCGATGTTTTTGTAACCTTACAATGAGCCGTTTATATCTACATAGTGATGGGGTCCTCTTCACGGAGCCCGCCATGTTTCTACAGTAGCCCAGAATGGACAAACAAAATACTGGCTTTAGGCAAGGTCATTTGTTTCTTCAGATACTTCACCGCTAGATGCCGCCAAGTTCTGCACACTGGCCCTTTTAAATGTTCGGCAAAGGCATTTCCGTAAGTCATTTAGTGCATCAACCATTTTTTGGCAAAGGCGAAAACCACCATAAGCGAGCGTAAAAACATTTTTGCTCCACTGAGGAGGTTTTTTTTAATTTTCACGTTTCCTTACAGATTTTTCATTGCTTCAAAATGCGCATAAAAATATGTGAATGGAAACACGGCTATTGTTGTTTCCTTCAGCAAGTTAATAAGTCCTCAAAAAAAAAGTAATTGCTGCTAGCTGGTAGTTATGTTCAAAAATAATTGGGCCTTAACTAGTAGCTTGTATAACTACCATAACTCAAGTCAAGCCATGGAAAAGCTAAAAATGACTCGTTTGACATACTATGTCCTTGAGAAGTTAATTTGGCTAACGTGTTGACACACTATTAATTATTTACACCTCCAGCAGACACAGCATTCATTAGGAGTCGTGTCTTTGGTGACCAGATGAACGGAAGTCCAATATTATCTTCTTTTAGTTCAGTTTTGGTCTCCACCAACTCCTGAAACATCTGGTTCTTTAGCTTGGGAGCTGCAGAATTGGGTTATAATTCACTCAAGGTATGTTGCTGTGACGGACCCTACATCATGTAATTTGGCCCAATGTTAACATAAAACTATTAGATAGTGCAGCTGTTAAACTACAAACGGCTGGTGATACTAGCAGTATTTTTGTTATCTGATTTTCACCTGGGTTTTTGCATTGTATTTTTAAGTTTGAAATTTCAAATGTCTTTTGCATTTGCGACGTGGAATTCCAATAACAGTGTGAGACGCCCATGTAGCCTTCAGCGTATCGCTCATCCCTGCACACAGTTTGTGGTGCACTTGGACTTGTTTACTGTTCCTTTAACGTCTATGCCTCCAGCTCTCAAGTTCTGTGTTCATTGGTAATTATTTGTGGCGGTGGACATTGCTTGAATTCCATGAATTCCGAGTGCAATATTTCCGTCTGATTGCGCGTGTGCGCAGTTACATTTCTTCACTGTTCGTTTGCATGTTGGCTCTGTGGAAGATGCACCTTAGCTTGCAACAGTTTCTGAGCTTTTCGTCCAGGACGGCGATGGTAGTAGTCAAGCGAATTTTCCCCAAATGGAAATATGACATATTTTATTAAAAATCAAACCTATATTTGCATACAAGGTCTGACAGATCCTATATATATATATATATATATATATATACAGTATATGGCGTTATTCCATATTTGTTTGCATATTGACACTTTCTTTGACCATTTTACCAAGGATGTTATAAATTTAAGTTTAGCAATTTATAATATTTAATAACATGCATACGTACAAATATTGAAATGGCCAAAATGGAGTATTGCATATACCTGCGCTGTGATTTTGTACGTGCCTACACGAAAGGTATATTGAAACGGCCAAAATGTAGTGTTGAATATACCTGCGCAGTGATTTTGTACGTGCCTACACAAAAGGTGTATCAGAAATATGTCCACTACTGTGTCTTCACAAAAGGATCCATTTCCAGTTTTTTTTTTAAATTATTTTTCTTCTACAGTTTGTGGTGTTGCCTAAATTTGTTTCTCTAAATGTATTCATAAGATTGTTGTGCCTCCATGGGGGCTATAGAACATACATTTGTAAAAGAGTTTCCATGGTTTGCTTCTCACAAGAACCTTTTGGTACAGTTCCCAGTTCTTCACGGATCATGTTTTGTTTTTTGTTGACATGCGCTGAAGTCTGTGAGGCAGATAATCAGTGCATGAATCGCTGATGTTTTTCTCTCTATAATCATATTCAGTCATTTCAATGGGAGACATGTGCGAATAAATTCTGAGTGATGGATACAGCTCCTACAAAGTCACTTCATCACTAGGGCTGTCTATTGGAAATAATGATACAGGGGTTACGAATACCATATATTGCCATATCGATACTGTATGCAAGACGATTTATTGCGATTTTCGAAAATCTAAATTTAGGAAAACTATCGCAGTATGAAGAACTGCATACAATCTGACCTTCACCTTTTTTATGCAATCAGACCAGTGGAATCTGCATTTACATTTATCACACAACATCTTAGCACTACTTTTTGTGCGATCTGATCCACTGTCAACGAAAAATCGATATTCTAGCACAAAAACATAATCTCACCATACTCAAGTGTATCAATATTTTCTTACACCCACATTCATCATCATCCTGCATTTCAGCTTTTACATTTGATTATAAGTGCATACTTATAATTTCTCAGTTGTGCATAGATATTGAACTGGTAATATTATTAAATGCAGAAAGAGACATTGATCCTTCTGTGAAGACACTGAGCTATATTTCCATATGGGTGTAGCCTTCGGCCATGCTTAGACACAGACGCGTGGAGGATGGAACTGAGATGGGAAGGCCTCCGGATGGAGGCAGAGCCGAGGTATTAAAAGAGGAAATGGTTGATATTATTGTAATATTTTCCTATTTTTGGCTTTCCTCACAGCCTTGAACTGACCTACTTTTTACAGATAAAGAAGTGCCTGTACCTTTTTTTTTTTTTTTGAATGTTCCATGAGCCCACTTCGTTGTGGATGTGCTTTCCTGTGAGTTTAAACCTACCAAAATGTGAAAATCTTCATTTTGTGCAGTGTATTTTTATTTTGTATGTCAAAATTAATTTTCTGAACTCTTTGATGTGATGAAATCCAAGTGACTAAGAATGTCTCTCTTTACATACACAAAACTATTGAATGTTACATTTTTACTTTACGTAACAACAGATTCCATGAGGTCCAGCTTTTGGCAACTTCCTCCAAACACATCCAGCATGTTTTTAAACCTGTCAACAAATACTGAAAGCTCTCTGTGCACGAGATGTTTCAGTAAGGGATTAAATGCATTTATATATAACACTGGTTCATATTGTGGACCAGCATTTCATTTTTAATTTTATGATTGATATATACAGCACACAAGCGTGTGATCAAATTGAGGTTCCACCTTTTGACGGCGTTAAAGAGTTTGATGAGGTGTGTGAATACGCTTCAGTGTTTGTAACATAACAGACATAACAGTCAGATTACTGGAATGGGGTTCAACTCCCTGTAGTGTCCTGCTGATTGTATTTGGACTAACATGAAAGTTAACAAAACAGTAGTGTCATTTGCTTTTACTTGAACACTTTAATTTAACACTTTTCATTTTAAGCTCTTCTGTAGCTTTAGATTGTAGTGTGAATCATTCATTGTAACATTTAACCTGATTCTCATGTAGAAGATCTGGTCAGATAATTTATACTAATGTCCACTGACATGGTTTGAGAATCACTGTTATCTAACTTTTGCTCTCCAAGCATTATACTATGCACATGTTTAGTTCAGAGAAGTCATTATTTTCTGGTGGTGTGGCCACGAACCCTTTCAATAAGTTCAGTGTTTGGACCGCTGTAATTATAGAATCCTGCTTACGTCCGTGGGTGCCAGTAGGTGGCGCCATGACTGAGTTAATATTAACATGCAGAAGTCCTAAAGTCAAGACGGTCATCAAGCATGTCAAGTTTGGGACAGTTTTGACAAAGTACAGTTGAGTTACAACAGTTTGATGGATGATGGCAAACCATGTAAAATGGCTGCCACACCACATCCACATCGTTGGATGAAGCCTCAAGCTTTTCGTAACTTTTAATCACTACGGTCTTTAGATTGTTCTGAAGACCGTAATTCTAAGTTGATCTGATTAATTCCCTAGGAGGAGTTCGTTAACGTACAGCACCTGGAAATGGCAAAAATAACCACGAGAAATTCATACAAAATGAAAGATTGCTGACTTCCGGTTGGGTTTAGAGCATGGACCCCTATGACTCTTTTTTTAAGTCTACATGTAATACACCTGCTTACCAAATTGTATACATCTAGGTGAAACGTATTGCGAGGGCTGCATCCTCGATGTTTTGTAGGGGGCACTATCGAGCCGACTTGCCAATCTGAAGCATTAAAATCAGATCAGATAACTACATTCAATATTGTAAATGTGTGTGCCATGTTTGGTTATGTTTTGACAATTTTTAGGCCCTCAAAAACACCTTCGTTTTTCATGGCGAAGAATGCATCGCCACAGCAACAGCCTTTCACGAAACGACAAACTTTGAGTAACTTTTCATCACAAAGATCTTTAGATTGTACTGACCAAATTTGAAGTTGATTCGATTACTTCCCTAGGAGGAGTTTGTTAAAGTACAGCGCTTGGAAATGGCAAAAACGACACTAGAAATTCATACTAAATTCAAAATGGCTGACTTCCGGTTGAGTTTAGAGCTTGGCTCCAAGAGACTTTTTTTCAAGTCCACATTTGATACATGTGCCTACCAAATCTTGTAAATCTATGTGAAACGTACTACGAGGGCTGCTTCCTCGAAATTTTGCAAGGGGCGCTATCGAGCCGACTTTCCACTCTGAAGCATTAAAACCATAACATGGAACTGAATTTTGGGCTTTAAATCTGTGTGTGAATTTTGCTTATGTTTTGAGCATTTTTAGTCCCTCAAAATTACCTTTGTTTTTCACGGCGAAGACGTCGCTACGGCAACGGCGTTCAAAAGCTTCAACTGGCATTATGAACTTCTTACATTTGTGTGGGACTAATTTGATGTTGATCTGATTTACCTACTAAGCCAAACAAGCCAAAGTATAGAGACTTAAACTTCCTGTTACCAGTAGGTGGCGCTATAACTATTATATGTAATTGGCCTGTAGATGTCTTCAGAAATTTCCAAAATGTCATACAGCTAGGTGAAACCCAATGTTGGGGCTACTCAAAAGGGGGCGCTATCGAGCCAATTTTTCATACCGCAGCTGGACAAAACCCAATCAGCCTTGCATGGCAAATTTCAAAACTTACCAGTACCCCAAGCACCTCCCTTTTGCGATGAAACTGGTACGATAATAATAATCAACATTAGAATAACAATAGGTCCTTTGCTCCGACTACGTCGGTGCTCGGGCCCTAATAATAATAATAAGAGGGGGGGAACAACACATTTGGAGCCCGGCAGATGTTATGCTGTATCAGCGATGTTGACTCGTAGGAGATGCCTCACTGCCTCACTGTTATCGTAACAGAACAAACAATGTGTCAATGTGACGAGCGCTTTTCAAATAACACTTTGAGCAGTCAAACTGGAGCAGTTTGATTTATTTACATATCTGTTTCTCTCTAAAACCCGTGTTGAGATTAAGATGAGGAGCTTTTCATCAGGAGCAATGACATCAAACCGCAAATCCGCTTGTAGTTCTCTCTGCTACGTTGTGTAGATAGTAACTTGTGTGTTAGTGAACTCTTTGTACTACCGGAAAAAATTTTGTTCCATATTTGTATTTAGTTTTGTTTTATTAAAGGTTTTAAGATGCCTTCTATGCAAAGAAGTGCACTGTTTTTTTTTTA